TGAATATTTATATATGTTTGTTTTATATATTTTTTATTTGTATATGACCAAAAACCAAAACCAAACTCACTGCTGTCAAGTTAGATCCGACTCATGGCAACCCCCTCCTTGGGCTTCTGAGGTGGTATCACTACAGAAGTAGATTACCCAACCTTCCTTCCTAGGAGTGTATATATATTTAGAAATAGACATGTATTCAATCAAAAGTTCATCCCATATTTTGAAATAGTAATAGGAAATTTGATTTGTGAAATTTTTTCAGATTGTCAGTTAACTACCTTAATAGAAGTTGAAGGCTTTTCATTGTTACCTAAATCTCAGTATTCAGAATGTATGTTTAGGACATTAAGTCTTTTAAGTAATAATATTAAAAACATTAGCATGTTTTTGAAAATTAGCATTTTAGACATATCTGGCTATGAAGAGAGATAATTACACAACAAATGCTTTTACTTTGTGTGATTTTCAGTGAGGATGGGTAGAAGGGACTGTGATAATTTTCTTTTCTATGATTTTCTGCAAAAGTTAAATTTAAACCTTTTCCAAAGCATAAAATTGCAGCACACATTTTGAACTAACACATTAATTCTACTACAGCTGTTTGGTTTTCAAATGAAACCCTGACTGTGATTCATTTTCCCAGTATATGAAAGAAAGTCTTTTCTTAAAATTCTACCCAAGCAATTATTTTTATGTGTGGGTGTATACATGAATGGAAAAACTTAGTTAAAATGAATAGTGAAAAATGTGAATTATCTTTTCAAAGATTAGATATTTTTAAAAAAGGAAAATATTACTTTTAAGTATACCAAGTCTTTAAAAATAAACCATTTTTAAGCTTTTGAAAGAGTAGTGGCACTTGGACAAAACTAGAAATGTAAAGCCAGGAGTGGTGTCTAGGAGTAGCAATGATATGGTTATGGTCATTTAGATGTTTTTTATTTTTATTTTTTAAAATAAGGTTCCAAGTTAATTGGCATGAGAGGATCAGGATGGGAAAGAATAAATGGCAAATTACTTCAAGGTAGTTAAAAAAAAAGAAATTTACAAAGTCAAAGGACATACTGTAGGGTTGAAGTGAAATTTAAAGATAATATTTGTGAATTACCTAATACTGTGCCTGGCATATATATAGTAGACACTCAGCGTTAGTGAATATATTAACTTTATGTATTTCCTTTTTTTTTGAGTTTCAAGGTAAACTTTCATGAGACTAAAACAAAAAAGTGATGGCTTTTTATTTTTTTTAATTTTGGTAAATGTGTATGTAACCAAACATTTGCCATTAAAACAATCTGCACATGTACAGTTCAATGGTATTAAATATATCTGTCATGTTGTTCACCTATTATCCTTTGCCATTCACAGATTTTTCCATCACCCTTAACAGAAGCTCAATGTCCCCTAAGCACTGTCTTCTCTGGAGTTTTTAAGTGTTGTGAATAAGATTCCCTGATAACAGGTCTCTGAAGTCTCCTCCTAGAGTTAGACTTGGTCACCTTGATCCAGGCTGGCTGGCTTTGGGCCACTGTCAGAACCTAAACATAAAGTGAAAATTAAATTTCATACATTCACATACTAGACATAGAGAAATTATAGTATAAAAGTACCTATTTTAATACTAAAAAAATAATCATTGAACAGTTTTTAAATACAAATATGCATTTGATTATATTAGAAGATTTGGTGGTATTAGAACTGTGGTATGTATTAGAACTGATTCTTTCAAGTACTATAAGATATTTCTTGAAAGGGGATAGAGCTCTCTTATACTTAACATTCATTCATTGCCAAAGCAGTATGTTAGATTTTGATGATAAATGAATACTTAATACGTTTATAATTTGTTTTATGCAAATATTGGAGAGCCAAAAAGCTTTTGTTAAGCATTTTTATTCTGAATTTAAATATGAATGCCTGTTTTCAAAATCTGGGTAAGTTCCACCTTTCTCATTTAAAATTGTTTTCTGAGGTCGTCATGATTTTTCTTCAAATTTTTTGAAGACTTTTAAATTAGCTCCTTCCTTGAACAAGAAAGGGAGGTCCATTTCTTTCCCCTTTGGGTGGAAAGTTCTGTAATCATTACTAATTTTCACAAATATATATGTAAATGTCAGTTGATTTTTAAAAAAAAGAAAATTCTTTGGTCTTACAGATTCAGCCTAGAATGACAATGAGCAAACTGCCTCTTCAAGCAAATGTCTACCCCATGACTACAATGGCTTACATCCAGGATGCTGAGTATCGGTTGACACTTCTCTCTGCTCAGTCTTTAGGTGTTTCAAGTTTGAAAAGTGGTATGTGTTTTTTTAAATTCTTCTTGCTCTGAGAGGTTTCAGTTCTAAGTTTAAAATTTCTCTCCTGGTCAGATGTATATAATTATCACTGTCATTCAACCCCATTATCTTCTTTCCAGCTTTCTTCTTTTGAAAACTAGGATATTAATTCACAGATTTTGGATTTTGTGAGAACAGCATAAGATGATCAGTTTCCTCAGTCTTCAAATGGAAAACAGCTCCATACCATGATAAATGATATTTTCCTTCCCTGATAGTGGTGGTTTGCAGAGGCCCTTGTCATTGCCATGGCTTAACAGATGTGGAAACTCAGACTCTGGGCATTTAGATAATTTTCCCAGGTGTACAAAATGGGAAGTTTTAGTTCAAACTGAGATTTTTCTCTGAATCATGGTCTTTGTACTGCACCATCACCCAAAATAAGAAAGGTAGAGATATGGGGATAAAGAGGTAACAGACGTGGCTTAAAGGATTCCAAAAGAGAGAGAGATGATGAAAGAGAAAAAATAGAATAGACACCGTTGGTTTTTGATAAAACTTTCTGTTGGGAAACTTTTATCCTTTGTTATATATAGATATAGATATAGGTATCATTTGGCATTTTTATTGCTTACCCTTTATATTCAGAAACCCAAGGAGGGGTTGCTATGAGTCAGGTCCGACTCGATGGCACATAACAACAACAACAACAACCATTTATATGTCTACTTTATTCTTATAGTGCTACTGGCACTGTGGTTAAAGCATTAGGCTGCTAACCAAAATGTTGGTAATTTGAACCAACCAGCCACTCGACAGGAGAAAGATCAGGCAATCTACCTCTATAGAGATTTACAGCCTTGGAAACCCTACAGGGCAGTTCTACTCTGCCCTTTAGGGTCACTATGGAGCTCTGGTAGCGTAGTGCCTAAGGCACTTGACTGCTAACCAGAAGGCTGGCGGTTCAAACCCACCAGCCACTCCTCAGAAGGAAGGTTGGGCAATCTACTTCTGTAGTGCTACTGCCTTGGCAACCCAAGGAGAGGTCACTATGAGTTGGGTCTGACTTGACAGCACTTAACAACAGCACAACATGAGTCAGAATTGGCAGTGGGTTTGATTTTTGGTATTGTTCTTTTTCCCTTAAATATGAAGAGTTGCTAAGTTGTTATCTAAAAGAGCCAGGGAGATAATAAATGAGTGAAAACTCCTGGTTTACTCTTTGGCACACCACTTTTTATATTAGGCATACATATGCATTCTGAACTTCCACACACAAACAACAATACTACTTTCATTTTTTTTTATGACCTTCTTTAGACAAAATCAAGGGAATCTTACCATGAAAGCATGGATTCAGTTATTAAGAAAATAATAATGATGACCTCTTATTAGGGATATAACAGGTAATGACAGAGACTTGAGGAAACTGGAGTATATGGTTCTCCTGGTACAATGGGCAGCCACCAGTTGGTGTTAGTTAATTATTGCCATATAGATCTGGGGCCAGTGTTGCTAAGTTTTTGAAAAAGACCCCAGGAATCTGGAATTTTATATAAAGTTACCCAGTTTATAAATGTTGACATAATTGTTTATGTAAAATATAGAACATCTTTGTGCCAGATGTGACTCTTTAGTCACCCATTTTTAAAGTGTGCCTTAAATTGTTTAAGTTGTATTCTGAATAGTGGAGTAGACTTCAAGATGCAAGTAGTGATGAACCTGACCAGACTGTCTCAATTCCCTCATTAAGATGACCTGAGGAATAAAACTGGTCTGGATACTGAAATCTTCTAGTATTTGAATAACTACAAGCGCAGAAACAATTTTAGTGCAATCAAGGAAATTGCTGTCATTCTGTGTCAAATGGGCTAATATTTGAAAGCATATAGAAGAAGAGTTAAAAATCACCAAGAATACAAGAAATTAATGTATTGATTTGGGTGTAAAGTGATAAAACTTCAGATGGATTTCGGGGCTGTTGGCCCCAGTGCCTGGCTGTACAGTTGTCTTTTAACTATTTCCCATTTATGCCTAGTTATCATTAAGTGGTAATGCATATGAACGAATGACTATATATATGTTTGTTTGTCTAACATATCTAGATAGCGTTATAAGTCTTAATTGAGTGTAATCATAAAGGCACACATATAGCTCTGGCTTTTTATAAATTAATTTTTTTATAATTTAATATAAGCATTAACCTGCAACTGAAATTGGAGGATAGATTATTGCAAAGTAAATGAAGAGATCAAATAGGACTCCATTGAGTCAGGGGAGACAGAAAATGGAGATGCCACTGGCATAGTATCAAAGCTGGAAGGGACAGGGAGTGTCTCCAAATTCTAGGGCTCTTCCAGAGAATTACCACATATTAAGCAAACTAACTTTCATTCGCATATCATTTTCAGCTCCTACCCATCTGTATTTATCTTATTTTTCTATGTGTGATGTGCATTTCCTAATGATCCTCATAAACATTGTTAAATTACAAATGCTACTACTGAAAATTTTCTGGGACTTAAAATTTACTCTAGGATTACTTCTTTTCTTTAATTCGTTTTAGTGTTGATCTGTCTGGTCCCATTTTTAAGTTTCAAATCAGGTATTGCTGGGCATTGGTAAAGAAAAGCCAAAATACATTCCTGTTTTAAGGATTTATTCTAACTACTTTGAGCTATTATCAAGAGAAAGCCCATGGTATGGTGGGTTATATAGATCTGTCTCATTGACTTGACAAGAAACCTTGTAAAATGTGAGGTCATGCTTTGTACCTAATTGATCTCCAGTAAATATTTATATTAAATAACCCTGGTCGGTTTTTTGTTTATTTCTTTGCTTCTTTTTTAGGTCAGATTGAAGTTATCATGGATCGAAGACTCATGCAAGATGATAATCGAGGCCTTGGGCAAGGTGTCCATGATAACAAGATTACAGCCAATTTATTTCGAATACTATTAGAAAAAAGAAGTGTCACTAATATGGTAGGAAAAAAACAGTATATAACATATATTCTGATGTTGTTTGTTCTTTGGCCTCCAAAATTTGAAATTATGGTTTACCACCTTTTTTAAAACAAAATTCTGATTTTGAAATCTTTATAATAAATTTAGCCTACATTCAAAGAGAGAGGACTTCAGTTATATGTATCTTATAAAATTAGTATTTAGGTAATCTCATTTTAAAAAATTTTTGCTTATTATGTAGCTATTTGTTTAAAAAAAAAAAGTCACAGAATCAGATTGGGTGAAATTTCTCTTCATATTAAGTTGAAAAAAATCAGAGTGAAAGAATAGAGCTTAATTATATACTTAGGAGATTAAGTTTGATTAGTAAAATTTATTTGAAATCATAGTGTACTTAGTTTAGCCTTAGAGTCATCAAATGAAGATGAATTTACTTGTCTGTCTTCCTTGTTTTTGACTTTCACTCCTCAAAGCAAAAATCCAATATTCTGTGGTATACAGCCTGGCAAAGTCCAGATAGACCTCAACAAACCTGACAATCTACTTAGGCAGCAACAGAGTCCCCCATAAATTACTGATAACAAGCCTCAGATGGATCTTGACAGCACCTTGTTTCTCTGTTTATTTCACTCTGTTTCCACACTGACCGTTTCAAATCTTTTCTACTTGTTTCAGCAGTGACCTCACCCTCCACTTGATAGAACAGCATTGGGCAAAACATTCATGTTCTAGATACCACTCACTACTACCCGCCCTTTCCTTCTTCCTTCCTGTTACGATAGAGTTCATCTTCCTTTCACCTTAGGCCAGTCCCTCCACTTGTTGTCGGATCTTACCCCCTCTTCAAGATCCTTTCACTACTGAGCTTTCCTCATATTCTTCCCCTCCCCCCTAATAGCCAACTTCCCTAGGAGAGCCTTTCTCTTAGCTTTTGAATGCATTCTGTTTTCTCTTATTGAAAATAAAAACAGAAAATAGCCCTCGATCAGATTTTTATTTCCATTTTCCTTATATAATTGTCCTCTCTCTCCAGCCTTCTACAGCTGGTTTATGAACTGAATTTATTTCATCACTTTCCTCTCAAGCTCAATTCATTTCATTCTGGCTTTTGCCTCCATTACTAGATCTAGTGGACATTTTCAACCATTATCTTACATTTAACACCTTAAAACACTTCCTAGCCAGGCCTTCCATGGCCCCAGACTTGGTTTTTCTTCTGTTTCTCTGGCAGTTCTTTCTCTCTGTCTCTGATAGTTCTTTATTCAACCATTAAATGTGGGAACCCTTAAGGCTCAGCCCAGACCTTCTTGATTTTTAGTTTTATATGCTCTCCTCCAACAATCTCTTCTGGTCCCGACGCTTTATTTGACTATCTCTCCACAGATGGAACCCATAAAACATACCCCTAGCTTGGTTTTACCTCTGACCTCCATACTCATCTTCCAGTTGCTTCCTGTCATTTCCTTTTATATCTCTCAAGGGCACCTCAAGTTCAGCATGTTCTTCATTTCATCCACATCTGGCCCTTTTCCATTATTTCTTCTCTTGGTGAGTAGCACCACCATCCATCCAGTGCCAAACCTAGGAGTCATCCCTGATAAACATTCTTCCTCACCAGTGATCACCAGTGCCTGTGCATCTCCTCTAAATATTTCAAATCTATGGATTTCTTTACTTCCTGGCATCAGGATTGGAAGAAGACTCATTATCAACCTACAGTGTCCAAACAACACAATCTTGCTTGCTCAAAGTGAAGAGGACGTAAAGCACTTACTGGTGAAGATTAAAGACTATAGCCTGCAGTATGGATTACACCTCAGCATAAAATGAAAATCCTCACAGCTGAACCAGTAAGCAGCATCATGATAAATGGAGAAAAGATAGAAGTTGTCAGTGATTTCATTTTACTTGGATCTACAGTCAGCACCCATGGAAGTAGCAGTCAGTCAAGAAATCAGATGTCATACTGGCAAACCAGAGCAAAGATGTCACTTTGAAGACTAAGTGGCACCTAACCCATACCATGGTATTTCCAGTTGCCTGATAGCATGTGAAAGCTGGACAATGAATAAGGAAGACTGAAGAAGAGTTGATAGTTTTGAATTGTAGTGTTGGTGAAGAATACTGAAAGTACTATGGACTGCCAGGGAAATAAACAAATCTGTCCTGGACGAAGTACAGCCAGAATGGTTCTTGGAAGTGAGAATGGCCAGATTTGTCTCAAGGAACCATTCCCTGGAGAATGGTTCCTTCTGACAACATGCTTGGTAAAGTAGAGGGTCAACCAAGAAGGGGAAGGTCATCAATGAGATGGAAAGACACAGTGGCTGCAACGATGGGCTCAGGAATAGCCAGGATTGTGAAAATGGCACACGGCTGGGTGGTGTTTCATTCTGTTGTACATAGAGTTGCTATGAGTCAGAGCTGACTCGACAGCACATAACAACAGTTTTTGGAAGTAGGTCGTAAGCAACAATTCAGATAGTGTTCTGTTGTGATCTATAAGATTTTCATTGGCTGATTTTTGGAAGTAGATCTCCAGACCTAAAGATCTCCAGACTTATTTTCCTAGTCTGTCTTAGTCTGGAAGTCTTGCTGAAACCTGTCCACCATGGGTGACCCTGCTGGCATTTAAAATACTGGGACCATGTTTCTCTCTGCTTCTAGCATTGTTGCTAGTAGAGGAAGCATCAATGTATGTTACACAAATGAGTAAATGATTGAGCTTTTATACCACTCTGTACCACTGTATTCATCACACTTACTTCTTACTGCTCTGTCTTCCAGAAGAGGGAGCTCTAGTGGCATAGTGCCTAAGGCATTTGACTGCTAACCAGAACCACCAGCCACTCTTCAGAAGAAAGGTTAGGAAATCTACTTCCATAGTGATACCACCTCAGAGACCCAAGGAGGGGTTGCTATGAGTCGGATCCGACTCGACGGCAGTGAGTTTGGTTTTTTGGTTTGGTCTTCCAGAAAATCATGTATATTCTATTCCCTGTACTGGATTCCAAGGCACATCTACTTCATTTTTGTGTGTCCCATAGGGCCTCCTTTCCTATAGCAGGTACTCTATTAGTAAAACACTAGTTGATTAATTCCAGTGTCTGGATCTTTTAGGAAAAACATTTTGATACTCATTTTAGATGTGAAGATTCTAAGTGTTCTTGGGAATCATGTTTTAAATCAAGTACTAACAAGATAGCTTAGTTTTAGAGCTGAAACTACATAGGAAAATCACTGAGTGCTGTCAACTGCTGTTTTTTGTTTCTCCTGAAAATATTCCTGGCTTTTATGATTTTCTCTCTATATAGACACTAATCTATAAAATTTCTGTAAACTATGGCAATAAAAATTTTCATGTCAAATCTATAAAACTTTCACTTAATAGTCAAACAGTTTGCTTATTCCCATTTAAAACTCCTTAGTAATTGATTTAAATTTGATTCAATGTTTTTATAATCCCATGTTTGTTAAATTTTTCTTTTACTTAACTATAGATTCTTGGACTTAAATCAATAGTTTTTTATTTTTCAATAAAAAATAATGATCTAAAGAAGAGAAATTATATTTTAATTTCTTGTAATAGTCATCAAAAAGACATTTGATGAAGAAGTGTTACATTATTATATAACTTAATTTTTCTATAAGATGTTTTTATTTTCAATGCAGACTTCTGAAATATCAATGATAGAAACTGAGGTGGAGAGATGAGGCCTATTTCAGGCTTTCTGTATTGTGGTAGCTTAGAGTGGGTAGCTTTGAGCCTACCAGAACCTCATGAGAAGAATCCTAGGTGACTACATGGAAGTGAGTCCTATTCTTAGTCTTCTGCAGGGACTCAATGAGAATAAGATCTTGAAGTGGCGACCCTGAGGGATGTGTGGATGCCACTGGGAGGACCATAGCTGCAAGGAGTTAACTGCCATCCATCCTAATGACTCTTAAGAGTCAAAGGAGACAGGAAGGAGAAATTATCTCTTACACATTGATGTCTTTTAAGTTTTGTTCATTTAACTCTTACCTTACCCTTACTTACTGTTGGTGGTTAGATTAGTAAAAGGGGCATTGAGCTAGGAATTGGAGGTCCCAGGGTTTAGTTCAAGTGTAAAAATTGTGTCATTTTACCTCTGGATCTAAGTACTCTACATATAAGAAGAGGAAGTTGGGAGAGATCAGATTAAAACTTCAGATGCTTAAAGGGGTCAGGAAAGTGATGGCATAAGGGAGATTGGCCAGGTGTAAGGACAGATACTTAAGTTGTGTGGCCCACGGGTCTATGGTGAACCTGAGGATACATCCCATCTGAGAGGAGGAAGCCACAGCTCAGCTCCAGCAGGTTGTTTCCATGTGGGAATGTGGCCTAATGGGTTGTGGGATTTTTTTTCTTTTTTAAGCCAGAAATCTGATTTTTGATGATGTTTTATGTGAAATCTCCTGATTTTCTTTCTTTGAAGGTCAGCTTAAAGAAGAAACAACTTTTTAATACCATGGAGACCTACCAAAATCTGTCAATCAGCCACATTTGGCCCACAGGCCACCTGTTTCAACTCTTGCCTTGATGATCTTTATCTCTAAATCTTGTGATTCATTTCTCTTTTCATTTACTTTCTCTCTTTCTCCCTTTCCTTGTTTATTCCCCACTGTTTCCCCAACAGTATTTCTTTCTTTTTTGTATCTGTATTACATTTATTTGTTAATTTAATAGATTAAATTTGGCAAATATCACATTCCTGCCATATGTCAGGTTATACTGAATCAACACTGGTGACTGAAAATATGATCTCTTACTAACTTATATAATTCAACAAGTATTGATGTTGATGAAATGGAAACCTTTGATATGTTCAGGGACTGGATACTTACATGACTTTAATGAATAGCACCAGGGAACTTGGCCAGAAGTTCTGACTTAAGCACTAAGTCTGGGACTCAGTAAACAGGGTCTTGCTCAGTCTTGTCTGAGTTGGGTCAGAATGTGCTGGAAGTTCTTTTTAATATCAGGGAGACTGCAGGTAAAAAGCTAGACTGCCATAGTCAGAAGCCTTCTGACCACCCCAATCAAAAACCAGACTCACTGCCATCAAGTCGATTCTGGCTCATAGGGATCCCCTTTGGGTGTCCAAGGTAGTAAATCTTTATAGAGGTAGATTGCCCAGTCTTCCTTTCGTGGAGTGGCTGGTGGTTTTGAACTGCCAACCTTCTGCTTAGCAGTCAAACGCCTTAGGCAGTACATCACCAGAGCTCCTTACCAAACAACATGTATTAAACTATGTTAGTTACAACAAAACTAGACAATTCATATATAGTTTAATCATACATACAGAAAACATGTTTTACAAACTTTGGATTTATCACATAGCTTATAGTGGAAAGGTTATATTTCTAAGAGGTTAATCAAAATATTGATAGCTCAATAGTTAAATATCTTTGTGAGCCTCTAATATGGTAAGAAGGAAGGTGAATCAGTGGTGAGACCTTGGGTGAGACTTTGCTCTACCTGGTGTGGCTGGCCTTCATAGGTGTTCTTTGTTCATGATACTCTCATGGCACTGGCCACAACTGTTCTATGAACTTCTCTTCCTTACCTTTCTAAGGACAGTAAAACACACAATCTTGAGTTCTCAAAATACTAGGTTCACAACATTGTTTCTTTTTTTAAGATTGAAATGTAGTTAAAAGGTGGAGCTTACTCATTTTTTCTTTACTGTGGGAAAATAATATATATAATAAAACACTTGCCATTTCATCCATTTTACCTCGTACCACTCAGTGACATTAATTACATTCAACATGTTGTATAGCCATTACCACTATCCACGTCCAGTTTTTCTCATCCCCCTTACCAGAAGCTCAGTGCCCTTCAGCAATAACGTCCCTTTTCCCCATGCCAGCTGTCCGTGGTAGCCATTAATAAACTTTGGTCTCTATGCTTTGACCTGTTCCAGATACTTCCTGTACTTGGGATTATACAGCATCTGCCCTTTTGTGTCTGGCATATTTGACTCAGCATAAAGTTTTCAAGGTTCATCCATGTTGTAGCATGCATCGCAACTGCATTTCTCTTTATGGCTGAATTATATTCCATTGTATGTATGTATGTACTACCTTTAGTTTATCCATTCATCCGTTGATGGACATTCCACTCGTTTCCACCTTTTGGCTATCATTAATAGTTCTGCAGTAGGCATTGATTAATTATTATTTTCCAAAGGTTAAGGAGGAGGCCTGGGTAACATTTCCTAACACAAGTGTACAGAGATATGTGGTGCTGACTGCGTGAGATTCATATGGGGAGGCATTTAAGCTTCATATTCCCAGGACCCCTGACTCTGGAGATTATGATTCAGTAGATTGGGCCCATTGTTTTTTTGAAGGCTCCCAAAGTCGTGATGCATGGTTAATTTTGGGAAGCGCTAAGGGTCAGGACAACTGATGTGGGTTTGGGAGAAGGGGTATATACATACATTGCTGCCTCTAAGGTACACATGACCAGTCAGGGAATGTCCCACCTACTCTCACTAAAGTGCCTAATAGTTCCTCCAAGAACATAGAACAAAGCCCAGAGCTTTTCTGAATGTTTCTTGACCTAGAATAAAATAGACTTGATGCCTCTCAAATCAGATAAGGCAGGTGTTTTCCTTTCTGTTGGAATCTTTTATCTTTCATTACTCAAAAGTGATTTTGTCAGCAATCCTGACCTACATTATGAAGTCCTTTGATCTTGGAGTACATTTAAAGTGTCTTGTGGAAAATGTTTCTGCTCTATTCATGTTATTCTATAAGCTGCATTAAATTTTAGTATTGTTGGGGAATATTATTTTATATGGTTTATTTAATCTTTCCTTAAAAAAAGAATGTGCAATGGATACGCTTTTTTATAACTCTTTCATGCTAATACTTTGTGTCAGTATCCTAATATTGTACTGTCCCTCTGCTGCCTTATAAATATTTTTTCTCTCTCCATGGTCTGAATTGTAATGACATGTATGGTTAGCTGCTGGCAAGATGCTCTTCACTCTTTGTTAGTACCTTTCTCTACAACCCTGATCTGACATTCTACATTTTGAGCTCATATCTTCTATAAACCTTGTCTTTTCACACAGATAAATAGCTAAGCCTTTTATTTGAGCCCTGTGTTACAAAAAGATGGAAAATCAGAAGTTATCTGTGAAATCAACATTTTTAAAAATAGGATACAACATTAAATTTGCTTCAAATGTAGCTAGTGATCAAAGGACTTTTCTACATAAATTATTTTCTCTTCTCAGTGCTTCCCTATGTCTGTTTTAACACTGTGGGCATTATTAGGTAAGGTTCTACTTAGTCATTGATTTAAGTTTGTTTGTCATGTAGTATATATAGATCCCCAACCTTCATGGACTTCCTTAATGTCTGATCATGCTGAAGTGTTTGTGTATAAGTATACACTAAAGCAAAGGATAAAGTGTTTTTAAATTTCACTTAATAATTGTAACATTCAGATATAGGACAACTATTCTCTAACATGTATAATATTTCCTTTTGGGGAATAAATTAGAATGGAGCAACTGGCAATGATTTATCAGATTTAAAGGAAAATAATAGTCATGCCACCTGTGTTATTTATATATTAAAATAATTTATTTGGAGAGTTTTCTTTTAAAAAAAAAATGCTATTCTTAGGTAACATTTAGCTTCTATTCCTTGGTAACACTCAATCAGTGCATTCCTTTATGGTCTTGCTAAGTGTATAAATAAGACCATGAGAATATAATAGGTAAAACCTGAGGGAAAAGAGAAAACGTGATGGTGTGTAAGATGCATGAATATATGAAACCATCTAATTTTGGAGCTTTGTGGTAGATTGAGAAAGAACTTCTATAAAATATGCCTTATCCTAAAATGTTTGTGGGAAATGTTAGCATTTTTTATATTAAATCAATGGGAAAAAAGCGTTTTTAGCATATGAGTTAGTGTAAGTGGTCAGTATTCATTTTCCTTTATTGCTTAGAACTGAACTTGGTAAGCTACTATGTATTTTCTAAGAATGTAACTTATAAAATATAATAAATTCAAATTAGTCCTTTATTGTTATTTTCAAACCTTGTCGTGTAACTTAATTAATATAACAAGAACTGCAAATATAGGATAGCTCTTAAGCATTTTTGTTTTTTCTTGATAGGAAGAAGAAAAGCAGTCAGTCAGTTACCCATCTCTCTTAAGCCACATAACATCTTCTTTCCTGAATCATCCCGTCTTTGCAATGACAGAAAAGGTCTCCTCGCCCACCCCTCAGCTACTGGGTGAATTTTCTCTGTTGCTGTCATCTTTGCCTTGTGACATACATCTAGTTAATCTGAGGACCATGCAGTCAAAGGTATGCTCTAAAACATATCTATTAAAAAGTACTTTTTATAGTATACTTGTTGTATGGGAGAAGAGAAAAGGTCTATAACCTCTACTTGCTTCAAGTGATGATTAAGAGGGCTTCAGCCTTAAGCACGATCGTTATGTCTTTCCTTTGACTATTGCTCTGTAGTTCAGAGCGTATCCCAGTACTAATTTATTTGATTCTATGAAAAGTTCTGTGTGGTGAGCGGGCCAGAGAATATCATCTTCTTTGTGCAGATAAGTAAACTAATGCTGTCCTGGGTTCATGTAATTAGGAGGTGGAAGAACCAGGCCTTAAGATCGGGGCTTTAGACTTTTTCCATTCATTCCTCCTTATTAGCCAGTATTTCCCAGAAGATAGAGAAATAGAAAACATAGCACTTAATTTTTCTTTATCAGATGCTTTGTATTTTGATATTCTTCTACTGAAAACTACTGCCAATTAAACATTTGTACTGAGAAAACAACTACTTACAAGAAATGACAAAGCTATATTGGAGGAAGGACATGGGAAAGTTTAATATGTGTGGAATTTTAATTCGATTAAATTGTTTGGGTTTACATCAATGTCCACTTTTTTAAAAGATTGCATTTGAAAATAATAAAGATTAGAAATTTGACAATATCCTTATGTGTTATAGAGCTGAACTGACATACAGTTAGCTATAAATAGTGATTATGGATTCTGTAGGAAATAAATAAATGGCCCAAATATGACAAGAAGGTCTTCCTGTTTGAAAGCAACCAGGAGGAGAGAAATGTTTTATTTTAAGAACAACTCAAGTAAATGAGAGAAGGACAAATGCCAACAAAATGAAGCATTTAGAGCTTTTGAAAACTATATGTATAAGATAAGAAACTTATTCCTGGCAATGCAGAAAATTTATATGGCTTGTAATGATGAATATTAGAATGCTAGAGGCCTGTGTATATTTGTCTCTCTGTTGAAAGGCTTGTATAATCATGTGAGTAAAGGTGCAAGATTTAGTTCATGTCTCTGTGCTGTAGGTACTTGAGATATAATGAACAAAATAGACAAAATCTTCTGCCCTTCTGGAGCTTAGATTCTAGTAGGAGGGAAAAAATAAAGAAGGAAAAAAAAAAACCTTACCATATGTTCATTTGTGGTAAGTGCTATAGAGAAAAGGAGGAGGAAAGGAAGATTAGGCAGAAGGTAATTCCAGTTTGAAAAGGGTGCTTGGAGACACATCCTCAGGGAAGGTGATAATGGGGTAAAATCTGAAAGAGAAACTCAAGCAGATTTCTAAGGGAAACTATTCCAAGAAGAGTTAAGAGCAAGTATGAAGGCTCCCAAGCCAGGAGTCAGACTGTAAGTCAGACTGTAAGCTCCATGACAGCAGGGCTTTTGTTTCATTTCTCTGCCTAAAAATGTGCTGCACATAGTAGGGCTGAGTAACTCTTTGTTGGGTGAATGGTTCTTGTGGGTGTTCTTAGGCTTCTGCTGTGGTGTTTCATGAGTCTACTATTCAGCTCATGGAAAGCACAGACTAGGGATGGACAGCTTTCATTATTCCATGAGCTAAAAGGGAGTGAAAGGATAGAGTGGAGGGCACCAAAGACCTGGGTCTCATGTTATCACCTCTCAGCAAAGATAGCAGAGGATTTAGCAACTTGAGAATCCAAAGGCCTTGAAGTAGAAAGTAGCTACTGTTCTTTAGCCTCACTTCTAGATGATTCCTCCCTCATAATTATTTGAAATGTGTTTTCTGGGAGCAACAGAGCTGATTGGAGGCATTGAATGTGGAGTTTTACCAGCTACAGCCATAGCCTAGCACTTGTTTTCCAGGTCATCTCTTTTTATTGTTGTTGTGTGCCATTGAGTAGCTTTTCCAACTCATAGTGACCCTGTAGGACCATGAGTAGAACTGTTCCATAGGGTTTGCTGGGCTGTAATCCTTATGAGAGGAGCCCTGATAGTGCACTGATTAAGCACTCAGCTACTAACTGAAAAGTTGGCATTTCAAACCCACCAGCCACTCCATAGGAGAAGGATGTGACAATCTATTTTGATAATGATTACAGCCTTGGAAGCCCAATGTGACTGTTCTGCTCTGTCCTATAGAAGCACTGTTAATCAGAATCAACTTCATGGCAACGAGTTCATCTTTATGGGAGTTCATCTTTATGCCAGGTCTTTCTCTGTGGAACTATTGCATGGGTCCAAACCATCAACCTTTTGGTTAGCAGCTGATCGCCACCAGGTCAATGCTTTTGAGTGGTCACTTATTCTCTTGAGTTCCACTTCCTGCTCTTGGCTATCTTTCTGTCATGTAAACTTTTTCACTTCCCAGATTAAAAATCCTGTTGCCTACCAAATGCTTTCAGAAATTAAACATTCAGTTCCTCTGTAGTCTGTCTTCTACCCGCTGTGGCCACTTTGCTTCCAATTTCTTGCCTTTGGGCAGGTGAACCACCTTCAGTGCCTCCTGGCTGAGTGACTGCTGACTCAGCTGTCATTTATAAAATGGAGTACCAAATATGCCTGCTCCAGATCTAGTGTGAGAAACAGATGAAATAGTGCTGTGAAAGCCCTTTGAAAACAGAAATGCTTTGTAATCATACACGGCTATCCTGATGAATGTGCCAAGTCAGGTACAATTGGGATTTTAGCAGAGGGAATAGAAAACAGTTTAAAAATGTACAGATTTGACAGTAAAGACCAAAATTTAAATACATATCTGTGACTGTTGTGCTGGCACATGATCAGAACTAAATGGGGTTTTGCATGATCATATCAACTGATACCAGTTCTGTGCTAGCCTTTGACCCTCAACATGTACTTATTACAATTGCTGAAAAGCCCACTAATAAATTATGAGGATTGATTAGTGCATTCAGAATGACTTCCTGAAAGAATTACTCTTTGTTCCCTAACACCTAATATAGAAAGATAATCATTGAAGGAAAGTGACATGAGTATTGATTCAAAGAAAACTTGTTATTTAAGAAATGTCCTGTAAATGATTAAATCCAGAAGCCAGAGGTAGGCCTTTTGGATTATGATCCTGTTTTTGCATGCTAGCAGCTCCTAGCAGACAATGAAAAGGTGGTCCATTTAGAGATTGCAATTTATTTTTCCCATTGAAATACTGTCAACATAGAAGTCAGATTCCAAGCAAAGCCACTGAGGCTTGCTTTGCCATGTATCTAAGTAAGCATTTTCCTCTCTACCACCTTAGAATATTTCTGTGAGAAAATGTGTCTATCACTTGGGCATGATAAGGGCACACCTTCTTCATGCTTGGCCCATCCCATGGGCCCACTGTCTAAAGGTTCCTCAGTGCAAAGCTCCAGGTGGTTTTCATGAGCCTAATGGAGAAAGGGGTGACCAAACAGGAAAGAAACAATGAGAGAAGAGGTGGGCACTGGAGGTGTGAGGTGGTTCAACAGTTCTAACTACTTAGCTCAGATTCACTGGGTCCATAGGGGCCATGTCACAGGGAAGATTGTAAAAATAAGAGATGAGTACAAATTTCCCCATCTCTAGGATTCTAATTCAGCGAATGAGGAGCCTGACAAGAAGTAATTTAAAAAAAAAAAAAAACAACTTTCCTCCTGATTCCAGAAATTGCTGAGTTACCTCAATATACTAAATTGGGGAATTAAGGGTCAGAGAGAGTACATGACCAAAATAAAAAGCTATCTACTTCTAAACAACAGAATCAGGACCCAGATCTAATCTTTTGAATCTGAATGCTGAGTGTCACCTCAGAAGATAATGTTTGACTTTTTAGAGTTACTAACTCTGTTCCTAAAACCTGTGAATTATTTGGTATCAGAAGATTAATTTATTATATGTTTTCATTTAGAAAGTTCTTCTTTTTCTACTTCATGCACACACATGGAATATAATGAATTGTATGTCCTATTTTTTTAGTCAGATGAAGAAGGGAACAAACATCTCTTAAAACACTGCCTCACAGTATGCTGCATAGTCCATACCATTCCAGCCACTGTCTAGGAATTTAACTGTTAGCCTCTTCTTCCTATTGGCCCTTCTCCTTCAATTCTTTCTCTCTCTTCCTCTCTTTGCCTATGATATCAACAGCTGGAGATACTAAGAAGAAGCTTCTGGGAAATTTTAAGAACTGGGGAACAGGAAGAATACTACTCGAGCTCTTGTCATTAGGAAAGGGTAGTAGTTATTTAAGGAGAGGGGATGTTGGTGTAGAGGATGCTAGGGGAATCTCATAGATAACAAGTCTTGAGTCTGAGTTTGAAGGCTGGAGTTGCAGTCAGCCAGGATAGAGGCACAGGCCAGGGGACTACAGTACTAACCCATTAAATTAGGCTTCATGGAGCCATTCTACTTTGTTGTTGTTGTTATTTGCCATTAAGTCAGACCCAGCTCATAGCAACCCCTCCTTGGGTTTCCGAGGCAGTGTCCTACAGAAGTAGATTGCCCCATCTTCCTTCCAAGGAGTGGCTGGTGGGTTTCAATTGCCAACCTTCTGGTTAACAGTCAAGTGCCTTAGGCACTACGCTACCAGAGCTCCCCCATTCTACTTTAGTGTTACACAAAATTACATGTAGTTGACTTTTATTTTTCCCCCATTACTTTCATTGCTTTTATGTTCAATAAGTCCTCTTGAACTCCTGAGTTCAATTATTTTCCAGTTGCTGTGAAGTCGACCCCCACTTATGGTGGACCCATGTGGATCAGAGGAGAACTGTGCGCCATGGGGTTTTCAGTGGCTGATTCTTCAGAAGTAGGTCATCAGGCCTTTCTTCTGAGACACCTCTGGGTGCACTCGGAAATTTCATTCAGCCTTTTTCCTGAATCTTAACCATTTGCACCACCCAGGGACTCATGAGTTCAAATGTATTTTTAATTTTTTAACATTTACATTTTTTTACATTGAACTCTTTAGTCTCTGGGAGCTCTGGTGGCATACTGCCTAAAGCATTTGACTGCTAACCAAAAGGCTGGTGGTTCAAACCCACCAGCCACTCCTCGGAAGGGAG